CATACCAAAAAATAGAGAATATAGTAATGAACATCCATTAACCCATCACCAGAATTTACCAACTTAACATTTTGCCACATTTGCTTCATCTTTTTTTTCTAAGTATTTTAAAGTAAATACATGATGATGTATCATGACATTTTGTCATTATAGTCTTTGTATTTTAGTACTAAAAGCTAAAGACATTTTCCTAAAGTCACCATAATATCACATCTGATAAAATTGGCAATTCCCAAATATCACCTGTGCCCATTCTGTGTTTTGTTTTCTCCATTTTTCCACAAAAGGTCTTTTACATCTGGTTTGTTCTATCAAGGACCACACACTGCATGTAAAGGTAGGCCCATAAGGATATTTTAATCATTCTAGAATAGCCCTTTTCCTCTTTTTTTTTTTTTTTCTGTTATTCAGTGAATAAACTGCTAGCTAATCTTTATCCCTACTCATGTGGGATAACATTAGTTCAAGACCAGTGACACTACTAAGGAGTTGGAATGATGTTGTACCTTTATGTTCAGAATGATTCAGTCTCATAGGGTCCCAAATCCATGATTTGCAGCTAATAAATCATTCCAGCACCAGCTAGAATGCACAAGAAGCCAGTGTCACAAGTGCTAGAGAAACGAGAGCTACTTCGGATCTGGGCTTTGTGCATATTTACTTAATAGCTTCTCCATCTTGTCTTCAGAAAGTCACTGGAAGAGCTAGAATTCATTTAACAGTGACTCTCTGGATCTCTGTAGGCTTGAGTCTTCAGGATTTGGTAATTTTACCTTGCCCATTTTCTTGTGTTTCATTCTTTTACTAGCTTTTTCCTTATCCTTTTAGGACTCTGGGTTTTGATAGAGTTTTTGAACAATAAAATGGCATTTTTAAGCTAACTTACTTACAATGTTAATTCAGTATCACTAGGACACACAAATTTGCATTTGGAGGTTTAAGCCCACGATTCAGAAAAATCTCTTTTAGTCTTTATTCACAAATAGTTCTTAGGCTTTATTTACATTTAAGCGAAAGGGGAAAAGAGCGTTTTTTTTTTTTTAATTCCTTCAGCAGAGTCCTGAATGCAGTAACTGACTGAATTTAAATCATAGTATGTAAATGCAGTGTCTGAATTTTCCTTAGGAGTTGCTAATTGCTCTTAGTAGCTTTTAAGATTGAATTATTAGGACTTCCAGTGATTACAATTCCAGGCCATACACCAGTTGAGTAAGACTGCTCCTGTGGGTTCAGTCACCTGTGATGAGGGGAGAGGGAGGCATTGGAAATGGGGCTGGTGGAAAAGAGGAAAATTCCCTCTGTGAGGCCACAGAAGGTTCAGAAAAAGTACTGTGAAGTATTTTAGAAACTGTTGCCCAGGAAAGAAAACTGTGTTAGCATGTTAGCAAGACTAGCTGGGCTGCCCTAACAAAATACCATAGATTGGGATGGTTTAAACAGCAGACATTTAAGACTCTCAGTTCTGGAGGCTAGAAAGTCCAAGATCATGTTACCATCAGATTAAGTATCTGGTGAGAACCCTCTTTCTTGCTCGCAGTCCTCACTGTCTGCTCATGTGGCCTTTCCTTGGTGTGTGCTCTTGGAGAGCGATCTTTGGTGTCTCTTCTTCATCTAAGGGTATACTAATCCCATTTTAGGGGCCCACCCTCATGACCTCATCTAAACCTGATTACCTCCCAAGACCCCTTCTCCAAATACTATCACGTTGGGGTTAGGGCTTCAATATATGAATTTAGGGAGAACATAAACATTCAGTCCGTGACTCCAAAGCATATGATTTGAAACTGCCCTGGTAGACTCTTAAGAATATTAGACTATTAAGGTACATTATTTGTCAACACTATCTTCATACCTCCCAGAGTTTGCCCTGGGTAGGGATTTCAGTCTTTGCAGATCATCGTGAACCTGTATTGGTTTGGTCACAGTGTTTCAGGCCACCTTAAAGAGAGACTGTTGGCTGTCCCTGTAGTCAGATCGGATTGCTTCTAAGTAACTCTATTCTCAAATTGACATCATACTGATAGCCAGAAACTGTCCTTTCTGATCATCATGTAAATAAGATACCACTTACAGGTTGAAGAGAAGGGTTTCTCTTCATTATACGACGAGTTTTGGTGAATTACAGGCGGAAAAAGTTGATTTTGGAACAGGCACAGAGGTAATCTTACCCTGACAGGGTTTAATGTGAAGTCACTCTGGCCAGAGAATAATCTTACTAGGGCTTTCATTAAAAGCACGAGGTGTTGGGTTGGTTTTCGGGGTTTTTTTTAATGTCTTCTTATCTATCTTCCTCTTTTCTTTCCTTCCACTTCCATGTTCTCCTTAGCCCAGCTCCCCTCCCCCCCCCTTCATCATCCTTTAACATTTAAAATGTTTTTGGCTTGGCTGATCCCTCTGGATAGGAACTGAGCTAGGCAGGATATTGATTACCAAATATGGTATTGCTGCTAAAGATGTTAGAGGAATGTGGCTTGTATTCTAAGCCTCCGGCCTCTGAATAAGCTGCCAAACAAATTAGGTCATTTTAACTTCTGAGCTTGCTTTTTTTTTTTTTTTTTTTTAAATAAGGAGCTGGAACTCTGATTTGGAACATGATGGTGTTGTTACTTCAGCTCACACAGGGAGGAGGGATATGAAGAGGGGTTGGGAGTGGGGGGAGACTCAGTTCATCATGTTTTAGGACGGGAGCCACCAGTCCAGGCGGTGTAAAAGGCAAGCATGTTGTGCAGAGCCTCTGTTGACCCTGGAATACCAGTGGAAGAGCTGAGGCATAGAATTCAGATGTGCCGCCTCATTGCCTTCTTGTTACTGAGGCTAGAAGGTCCAGAGGACCACTGACAGGTCCCAGGATGCTCTTCTCCGGTTACAGTGGCCCCAACCACCGTGATCAAGTTGATGTGGGCTCAGTTCCTTCTTCACAGGAGGGTTGGTGGAGTTCAGTGCCAGGGAGGACACCCTGAAATTGATGGCAAATCGTTACTATGCGTAGCTCATGGCTTGTCATGTGAATACGCGAGTCCTTCCACAGCATACCTTTAAATGATAGCCAGGGGCTGACTGCATTTGTCTTCCAGCAAAGACCACAGCTCTTCGGGTCCATATTTGGAAATATTTATTCTGTTGTGATATTAGCTTTGATAGAGTACAATTCTCTCAAGTGGAAGCGGATGGAAGTAAACTCTGCTTCAGAATACTACTGTGTTCCTTTTCCTCATATACATCTTTGGCAAGATAATACTGAGGTTTCCTAAGTTGAAACAAAAACTGAGACCAGTTAGGGAAAGAATTTCTTTTTACATTTCTTATAACTGGCATCCCCCTTTTTGCTTCTTCTTGTCAGTTAGGGCTGTACAAAGTGGATTCCTTCTTTTCCTGCCCAAACCCGTTTGCCACCTTCAGTGTGTTTCTTCTCAGAGAATGGATAAATCAGGCTCACAAAGAAATTTCACCCACTCCGGGATGTCTGTAGGTCAGGGCTTGGTGGCTTTTGTTGTACCTCCCTGAGGACCTCTCTTGCCTCCTTCCCCCTTATTTCTCTTATTGCTGCTACCCTACCATCCAGTCACAGGCTCTTCTTCCCATCTTTGGAGCTGAGCCTGTGAAGTTCAGAGTTGTTCATCCTGGTGCACGGAGTCAAGAGATTCTTACTGATTTCTGGTGGGAATTGCTCTGACTTTTCTTCAAGTGAATCAAGAAGAAAGGGGACTTTGGGGCCCATAGGCCGACATGTGCACTAAATGGAAAACCTGTATTCTTAGGATACTCCTTTTCAGAACTCCACCCCCTTTCCAGAACATACCGTACAGACAAACATGGGACCTGAGCCTGTTATGGATGCACATTTATGCACTATACTGGGATATCTTTTTGTTAACTGTTGCTGGAATACATAGCATTGGAAAATAGATATCATGAGGTTACTCATTATGCTTAGTAATGGAGGCATTCTTTTTTTTTTTTTTTAAGATTTTATTTATTTGAGAGAGAGCAAGCCCGAGTGGGTGGGGGAAGGGCAGAGGGAGAGGGAGATGCAGAGTCCCCGCTGAGTGCAGAGCTGGACTCTGGGCTAGATCTCAGGATCCTGAGATCGTGACCTGTGCCGAAGGCAGATGCTTAATGAGACTGAGCCACGAAGGTACCCCAATGGAGGCATTCTTGAATGGTGGGAGGGTTTTAGAATAGACTTATCTTGTCCTAAATCTTGTGTTTTTATAATGTTTGTTATGTATTGAATTGTTTTAGGTAAACTGCAATATAGGGTCAAGGGTAATTAAAATTACTACCCTGTCTCTGGCCGGTGTAATCTGCTTTCTCTCTAATCATGTAGCTAATAGGCCAGCTGTAATCAAAACTGGGACTTTACCACAAGACATTAAAATTTTATATAAACTTATAAGCTAACTAGAATTAAATGATACTAGCTACATTGAAATCTTAAATCTTAGTTCCTGTTTTACTAACTCAAATACATGTATCCACCACGAAGAAAGATCTCTAGTTAGGGAGGGGAATTTTCTCCCTTTATTTCTAGGTGATGAAACGAAGGCATTGAAGAATGACATTGTTTTAGGCCAGTGTCAGAACACTACGAAGGGCCTAGATCGCTACAATTTCCAGTATTACACAGAGCTTTACAGGAATCATTTTATTCTTATTGGTATCCATTAATTGAAGTTTTTCACTATGCTGGGAATTTGCTGGTCCATATTTAAAACTTGAACCTAACGTTCAAAACTTAACGTTTCTGTTCAGGAAGAAAAAATAATTGAAAAAACATGTAGGAACTAAATGTTTTAATTAAGTAAACAAAATCTCCCCTGACTTTCTGGACATGTGGTATTACAGGTTTTCATGTATTCTGTGTAAGTAGTGAGAACCCGGGTTCTCGCTGACCTTTTTTTTCTGATAGGCCAGGATTTACTGGTGTGTTTATTTTGTCACCATTCCGGTTTGACTCTAAGGAAATGAAAACATCTTCCATTTGTTCTTTATTTCCAAAGGGCATCCGCTTCGATCCTGAAATTCCACAAACACTACGACTAGAGTTTGCTAAGGCAAACACGAAGATGGCCAAGAACAAACTAGTAGGGACTCCAAACCCCAGTACTCCTCTGCCCAACACTGTACCTCAGTTCATTGCCAGAGAGCCATGTAAGTTGATCTCCTTTTCGTTTAAAAAAAAAAGAATAACCAAGAATTGTGTGCTGCACGTGAAATTACACCACAGGACGTAGAGCTAAGTGTCATTTTCCATTTCTGTGAAGAGGCTGTGGATTCTTCCTGTCTGAATTCCAAATACAGCAATCTTGTTGATGATTGGCTGTCCTAAATGGTGGTTCGGCTAGATTAGAACTGTAACTACTACACAATTTCGTTTGATGTGCTGTAGATTTCCTTAATGTCACCTTGACCTTATTGTGAGGGTGTTCTGTTTGCCTGGGGGTACAAACCCTTCTTTATTTCCCCATCCCTGGATAGGAGAGTCGGTTCTCAGCATTTACTTCATTTGTTGAAGATCATCAGTTCTGTGGCTTGGGAAAAGAGAATATTAAAAGTGAAAGCAGCAGATAAGTTCTATTTTTGAGAACAGTTGAGCCCATAAAATCTAGAAGGAAAAGTAAACACACACAAAGAATTTATATGTTGGAACAATCAGTTCTAGCAAACTAATACTGGTAAATTTAAGGAAATCTAGGGCTTCCTGTTTTAAATTAATTGGGTAAAGACACTGACTAATTGCTAAACAAGTGTCTTACCCCACCTAATGAGCTTATTCCCTTAAATGGCCAGTCTACAGTTTTGCCTTTGATTGAATAACTTGAAAAGGTTGTCTTAATTTTCTTTCTTAAGCTCAGTCAGTAGCATAAGTGAGGCGTGAGATAGGCCTTAACTTTTCTTTTCATTGCGTAGCTATATGTGATTTAATATGGCAGGGCATTCAGGGAATCCCAAATGACTTGCTGTTATTTGGAATATTTTTGCCCTGTCTTTCTTGATCTTCTTTCCAAACCACATGATCTTGATCTTCCTGCTTTCCTTGACAATACTTTTCAACTTTTCTTATTGAAATTGAAGGGCACATGAGTTTCTTTCTCCCCCCATGTCATGTGTGTGTCAGGTTTAATCAGGTTATTTTGGAAGTTATAGCCATTCTGTAGCCCTGTAACTCTTGAGAAAGCTGCCACTTGTCAGTGGAAACTAACAGATAAGAGTTTCTCCTCCAGTGTTTTCTAAAATTTTTCTGTGAGTCCAGAAGTCATAATAAAAAGAAATTTGTTCTTCCATGTCCTAGAGAAACTTGAATCCTTTCTAAACAAAAGTTTCATCTTATGGTCCAGTTGCACTACGGGAGGATGAGTGGACATTTCTTACACATTTCTGTATCCGTACAGCATCTAGTTCAGTTACCTTTTGTACATTGTATATATTTAATATTATAGTGGTAAGTGGATAAATATTTTAATTTGGCTATTTGCAGAATTATTCCATTTGTATGCCTCTTCTTTTCCCTCTGAAATGTCTTGATTAAGGCATCAGAAAAGAGGATTTGTAAGATACCTTGATTTAGAAAAGGTAACCTAGAGTACCTCTTTAGTTTTCTAGTGAATTTTCTGCCTCAGATCTGAGAGTGCTTTGAAAAGATGAATTCAGACAGCAAGTATAGTGATGGTGATACTTTACCCTTTCAATTCTTTATTGAATGCTTTTGTTCTGGGACCTCAGTTTTTTGTTGTTTTTTTTTTAATCTGTTTCGAAAGCTCTGTGAAATTGGTCGCCAGAAAGGTGATAGCCAGTTCACTACAGGGTACGCAAAAGCAACAGAGATGAACAGACTGGACATCCATGAGTCTCTGAAGTTCTAGGAGAGCTCAGAGCAAAGTTTAGAACACCGCTCTGGCCAGCTCTATCCACCTCCCTTCCGTGTGTACAGAACAGCTCAGAAGTGGTCAGATGATTTCCATGGCACAGGCTGCTTGTGGCAAAACAAACTTGACGTTTAAAAAAAATCCAAAACACTGGCAAATTCTTGAGAAAATAAAAGCATGATTTCTCTTAATACAGCTCCTTTCTACGACACAGGGGTCTTGATGAACAGCAATTCCACTCTGACTCAGATCGACTTTATCGTCCATTACAGTTCCCTCTGGGAATTATGAACTTCCCTGTCACATAGGCAGAATTGTTTTCCTGAAAGCACACTGCAGACTAAGAACACTGGTGGTTCTTCACTGGCAATTCCAGTTGCACTGTGCCTTTAATGGGTGTTCAAGGTGGTGGTCAGTTCAACCACTGTTGAGTAGACTGCAGTGGAATCTTAGAATTTGTAGGATTGGAGCACCTGGGTGGCTCAGTTGTTAAGCATCTGCCTTCAGCTCAGGTCATGATCCCGGGGTCCTGGGATCGAGCCCCGCATCGGACTCCCTGCTCAGCGGGAAGCCTCCTTCTCCCTCTCCCACTCCCCCTGCTTGTGTTCCTTCTCTTGCTGTTCTCTCTGTGTCAAATAAATAAATAAAATCTTAAAAAAAAAAAAAAAAGAATTGTAGGATTGGAAAAACCCTATAGTGGCACCTGGGTAGCTCTGTCAGTTAAGTGTCCAGCTCTTGATTTTGGCTCAGGTCATGATCTCGGGGTTCTGGGTTCGAGTGCCTCTTAGGCTGCACACTCAGTGGGGTGTCTGCTTGAGGATTCTTTCCATCTCCCTCTGCCCCTCCCCCCACTTGCTTGTGCTTTCTCGCATGCGCTCTCTCTCTCTCTCTCTCTAAAATAAATAAAATCTTTAAAAAAAAAAACAAACCCTATAGACTTCCCTGTTGTGGATGATGAGAGAGGTTTTTAATGTTTCTTTCTGTCAATGTTTTTTTATAGTTGTGGCTGAAAAGTACCCATTGCCATCACTAAAGGAAGAATGTGCTAAGATTCAATTATACAACAAATATTTACTTGAACTCTCATTTCCCAGATATCTGTTGAACTTTAATGAGCTCTCAGTGTGCTAGACACTGGGAAAGAAGGGGACTGGTTGCTGCCTTAAAAGAGCTATCAGTCCAAGGGATTGGTGGTGGTCAAAGTTGTCAGGAAACTTGGCCCATATAAAGGATGTAAAAGATTTTTTGCAGCTTAGTCCAGATTGCTCCAAATCAGACTTATTTGCCAAGCACCTGCTCTGTTTGTGCAGAGCATGAAAAATGAGAAAACTAGGTATTGCACTTGCCAAAGGAGATGGTGGCCTGCAATGGAGAACCTTGGCCTTAGACTTGAAGATGTCCGTGAGAGTTCTGGTTCTGCCAGTCATTGTCAAGCTTGTCAAGTCATTGTCAAGTTGGACCTTAAACACATTGAACCTTGCTCTGCTCCTGTTCTCTTAGCTACAAAATGGGAATAATACCTTATTCACATGCTTCTTACAAGAGCTAAATAAAGCAAGATCCTAAGATTGTGTTGAGGATTAAGTGGCTGTAATAGATGTAGAGGGCCAGGCAAACATAAAGTATAATCTTAATTTCTTAAAAAAACAATTGAGTCACTTTTCTTTCCTAATTGTTAAAAGTAGGCATTGATCTTCTGAGGCTTTTCATCACTGTGACTATAGCCAATTGTCTTTGCAAATTAGAAGAAAGGATGAATGAAAGTGTCAACACACAGTCTGAGGAAAGTATTATACTTCCCTAATGAAATTTTTATAGTTTTAACTTCTTACTCTCTTGTATATAATGAAGCAAGAAAAACACTGTGAGAAAGTAGGAAGTAAGAGATAACAGAAAATTTATAAATTACATTATGCATTTGCTTGTACAGGAAAGTGGTGTTCTGTAGTGTAAGAACTCCACTTTAGAGATGAAAACAGGGCAAGTCACCATCTCTCTGAGTTTTGTTTTCCTTGTCTATAAAATGATGATACTGTGTGCCAGACATTGCTAAGCATTTTACATGAACTGGATTCTCAGTAGCACTATTTTACAGTTGAAAAATAGGCCTTAGGAAGATCCAGTAACTTTGAGGTGTTATGGGTTGAATTGTGTTCTGCCAGAATTCATATGTTGAAATCCCAACAACCACCAGTGGCTCCAGATTAAGTGTATTTGGAGATATAAAGTCTTTAAAGACATCAAATTAAGTGGGGCCATTAGGGTGGGCCCTAATTCAATATGACTAACTTCCTTAAGAAAAAAAGATGGGCAGGGATGTGTTCACACAGAGGAAAATCCAGGTGAGGACATAGCAAGAAGGTGGCCATCTGCAAGCCAAGTTACAGAGGCCCAGGGGAAGCCAAATCTGCCCCCCCACCTTGATCTTAGAACTTACAGCCTCTAGAACTGTGAGAAAATTAATTTCTATTGTTTAAACCATCCAGTCTGTGGTATTTTGTTATGGCAGCCTGAGCAGACTAATACATCAAGTGATTGAGCCTGGATTTAAATTCTGACCTGTTACTTTTGTTTTATAACTTTGATCTAGTTACTTAACCTCTCTGTCTCCATTGTCTCATCTATAAAATGGCAGTAATAATTAAACTTACCCAAAAGGTTGTGAGGATTAAATCAATTGACACGAGAGGGTCACATTCACAAGAGTGAATAATTTCAGTGACTGTTTAACACGTACGTGCAAGGATGTATACATTGGGGCATCTGGGTGGCGCAGTGGGTTAAGCATCCGACTCTTGGTTTTGGCTCAGGTCATGATTTCAGGGTTGTGAGATTGAGCCGCGAGTTGGGCTCCATGCTCAACATGGAATCTGCTAACGTTTCTCTCTCCCTCTCCCTCTGCCCCTCCCTGTGCTTGCTCTCCACACCCCCCCCCAAAATAAATAAACCTTTAAAAAAAAAATTAAGAATGTGTATGTTGATATGCCTTCTGTTCTCATAGTTGAGACCTGTAGTTTTTCTGCCTTTGTATACTTAGCATCTGGAACCTAGAAATACATGTGAAGTTAAGATACTGCAGATTTTATTTTATGCTTTTTCATTTGGAAGTTTAAAAATATACAGTGTTTAAAATTTTTCAGTGTTATTGAGGTATGATCAGGAAATGATAAAATGCACGTATTAAGAGTGTCTATTTTGATAAGTTTTGTCATAATACATAGGGAATTGAGTTGACTCAGTGCCCTTGATCTGTTTACACTGCTTGTGACATACTGTATTCTAGTG